AAAGTACTGAATAAATGTGTACTTAATTATTTGTGTTTCAGTGTTATAGAATGGTAGTATTATTATTAGGAATGGCTGAGGATTTCAGTGTACAACATGACTTGCTGTATTATTCCCTTCCTCCACCACACATCCTAGACCTTAGTAAATCAGGTTCTGGAGGACTAAGGAGTCATAGGAAAGCTTTGATGTTTTAATACAACTTCTGGAAGTGCCTCCTCTTGGTATTTCCTATAGATGGGCTGGAGCTATAGAGTTTGGCTCAAGTTTCATAGTGTCACAATTTAGGGGAGTTTGGCTCCAGATTTTTGATTTCGGTCCATCTTGGTTACTTTCAAGTACACTATTAAAGATCAGCATTAGCTTAAGGTTGGGATATCGTGCCATCCATTAGGAGCATCTGAAAGCAATAGCCCTACACAACAGGGCAGCATCAGTTCAGAGATGAGAGAGCCCAGGCATTCCAAATATGGGACACATCCCAAGGACTCTAGGGACCTCCCCTTTCTCCGCCCCCCGGCCCCCCGCCCCCCACACAGCACCTAAACTTTTCAGAAGCTGCTCAAGCCCATCGCTGGTTGTCGAAGCACATCCTACAACCTGGGAAAGAGTTTGACATAAATGGACAGGTGGCAGGAAACAATAGGAAGGGAAGGGAGGTGCTTGATAATGGCTTGATGAAGGGGTGTAATTTGACAGTGTCACTATTGGAACTCGTTGAGAATTTTTTTACTTTTTTTTGTGTGGAAAATGAAGTTTCCACAAAATCAAAACTGTTTGTGGCAAATTTTTGATTTTACTGAACTTTTTCAGTTTTCAGTCAGGAAAAACTGAAACAAAATATTTGGGGTTGGGTCACCATTAGTCTGTGTTCTCCTGAACTGCTGCAGTGCCTCGTGCCCACTGCCCTTCGTCTCCTCACTGGGCTGGGCTCTCTAGCCAGACCACATCTTCCATGATGCAGCACAACAGTTTAACCAGAAAGAAAACCATCCAAAAAAAAATTATGGGACATGTAGTCTGGCCAGGGAACCCAGCCCATAGAGGAGAATGGGAGCAGGAGCCACTTGAACTACAACTCCCATGAGGCACTGTGGCGGCTCAGAAAAACACAGAGTAATGTTGAACCAAGCTGAAATGCAATGTGTCTACACTTTTTTATCCAAATCTTTGCGAACTTTCCATTCCATAAACATTTTTGATATTTCAAGTCTTTATTGTGAATCAGCGGAATGGAAATTTTTATTATTATTTTTTGTTAGCACTAGTCACAAGAGCGTTGCCAGGTGTATCTACTGATGGAACCAGCTCTTTCTGCAGCCACAGTTGCAGGGTGTCAGGAGAAGGCCTTGCTCAGTGGGCATTTGCAGAGCACCCATTGGGTGCTTTACCCATACAGTGTGATACACATGATAGGAGAGGGAGCAGGATGGTTAACTTTGGTCTAATTAAGACAACGATGCTCAAGAGTGTAGGAATGGAATACAGAGCTAATTCGCTGGTTCATATCCAGCCCACTGAGTGAAAGACATCACCCAGTGAAAATCTGTTTGCTGGCTTATGTGCAATGAGATGATATGTCTTGGTCCAGTTCCCAGTAGACAGGTGTCAATTCTGCCTCTCTCACAATTGGCAGGAACTGCCCTTGTTGGCAGTCTCAGCAAAGAGGCTGAGTATTTAATGGTCAATGGAGACTGAACTCCTTTCTCCAAGAGGTGGATGCTTCTAGTCACGGTTGGGACACATTGACAGAATACAGTGTATGTATATGGGAAGCGTCCATTGCCTCTACCCTGCATTCATTTCTCCAGATTTGTCAATCTAGCAACTTTCTGCCTTCCCTAAATTCACTGAAGGATAAAATTACAGCATTAGAAAGTATTTTTTTCTTTCAAGTTTTCCCTTTTAAAATCCCATGGGAAAAGGAGCAGCATTGTACACATTTGGGAAGAGAGCTTGCTAAGTTACTTTTGTGTGCAGAATAGTTTTGTGGTTTTGTGCATAGATTTCCTCAAAGAGACATTAACTCGCCAACACTTTTCTTTTTGCACTATACTGTTTTTGGAGTAGTTTAATCCATAGTGTAGAATCTGGTCTTGAATTTGATAGGAGGCTATGAAGCTCAACCCTCCCACACACTACTCCTGCAACCCCCCCTCCACATACACACACAAACACACACTTTGGTTACACAGCAGGTGCAAAGTTCAATGCAAGTTCATTCCCATATTACATTTTGACTTTTATATAATTACCTCTAATCGTTTGGAAAACAGGAAGTACAGTATCATCTGCAAGTAGCACAGCAATAAACATGTTCTCATCACAATTTACACATAGAGCATGAGTCCCTCGAGCTAACTCATCCCCCTCCTGACAGCTTTAATAAAGGATGATGGATTGTTTTAAACTGACAGTTGAGGAAGATCAAAAATTCCCTCTTGTATTGTTTTGAGCTCTGTGTACAAGAGCTGTTTTGTGTTCTGTGAAAGTTGTATTTGCCTGTAAGCATTGGGGCTCTATTACTCTCCTTCATACTCTGTTCAGAGATGCTTAGTTACTCCGGGAATCTATTCATCCTGTTTTTAGTATTGACACTTTTAAAAAAATGTGCAAAGAAGAAATGACAAAACTGAGTGTGGAATGAATGTCTAGCTGAGGGTGCTGTAGTATAGAAATGCTCTTCCAGGCTGCTACAGAAGGGCTGGCTTGACCATTTTGGGAGGGTGGGATGGGGCAGTGAGTTGCCATGTCCTCTAGAACCACTAGTAGCAGGTGAAATCTGCTCATGTGACGCTTCCTCTTCTAATGCCACCAGGGCATGACTCTCTGCTTCAGATCCTCAGCAGTGGACTTCAGTGAATATTGAAGCATTTAGACAAACTGAGGATCTGGACCTCTGAGTGTATCCAGGGACCCATGCAATTACCAGCACTGCTTGTTTGAAAACCAGGCCTGGCCTATTAATCTGTTAGATTTTGATTTACCCACTGACATTCTTTCTGCATAGGGATAGACCTGTTTGACCAGAAAACAAAAAAAGCTGTTAATATCTGCAGGTTCTTTTTGATGTGTTTCTCTGGCATCTGAATCGTGTGTGTGTGTGTGTGTGTGTGTGTGTGTGTGTGTGTGTGTGTGTGTGTGTGTGTGTGTGTGTGGGTGTGTGTGTGTGTGTGTGTGTGTGTGTGTGTGTGTGTGTGTGTGTGTGTGTGTGTGTGTGTGTGTGATATAATGTGGGATGGTCCCCAGATGAAGAAATGGCAGAGTCTGGCATTCTACAGGGGGCTGCACTGGAAGAAAACTTTAGCTCTTGATCAGCCCATCCTCCCTCCCCTCCCCTCGTCCTCCCACTTTTTTTTTTGTAAGGCTTTTAAAGGCTACATGTGGCGACAAATTAGTTCTGGATGCAGATCCTCCTCCTTGTTTCTTTTTGGCATGAGATTTATTTCTCACTGCATGTGCTTTTGTGACTGCACTTGGCGGGCTGCAGTTTGTTCAGCTGTCCATTCCTCAGCTAATCTAGGGTCTTAAAATAAAAACAAACAAGCCAATCTTTGGAGAAGGCACACCACGTGAAGACATTGAGAGGCATTTGTTTACAACTTCTGGTTAGAGCAGCACTGGTCATAAAGATCCTAACAGTTAGAGAGAGAGAGCAATTCACATGGCACTAGCCAGAGTAAGAAAAATGACGCTCTTATGTGTATCTGCAATTAGGGTCCTCAGGTTCTAGCCTAATAAAACAAAAGGGTGATTAAATGATGTCCAGCCAAGGACCAGTGACAAGCTGCCAGGGGCACAAAATAACATCTAGCGTGCAGATCACAGCTGCCTTCATTACTAATATGAAGTTGAGGCTGCCACAGAGCTAATGGGTCACAAAAGGTAATGCTTTCTGGAGGCTGGCGGTTTCCATCAAGATGGAGCACTATATGTTCTTTAGATTGTCTCTCTGTGTTAGATAGGAGGGTAGCTTACAAGCAGAATTGGGACCAGCTCTGGGAGCTAGCATTGCTTCACAAATTAGGGGACAAACCACATGGTTCTGAGCTATTGTCGCACCACACACACTGAAGGAAGAAGAGCTTTCAGGATGTGGTTCTCCAATCATTTGAAGAGGGAGCTCCTGAAGCTGAAACTTTGTAGACTGCAGTTAAAATAACTGTCTAGACATTTCCAGGGGGCAGAATCTAGGGGATGGGAAGCTTCAGGATATTCTGTTTCTGCACCATGACCAATTCCCCCTCCCGTCCTCGTTCTGAATTCTCAATCCTCCCCTTCCCCCCCCCCCCATCGCTGCACACAGATGCAGTAGCTCTTCCCCCCAGCAGCAGATGCAAATATCACCCAGAGGAAACTATGCAAGAGTGATATGAGGCATCCATCCCTCTTCTTAGTAACACAAGGTCTAAGCAGGGCCAATGCTTCCAGTCACTGCTTGCCCAGGAACCTTGACAATGAAATTCTAACCCTGAAAAGAGGCATATAGGTCCAAATTTTCAAACTTCATGTATACTTGGTTTACCAAGACATATATTTGCAGGGCATATGGCTTGCACCTGAAGTCTTTGTTTGCACAAACAACTGATGGGATGTACAATTACAGGTATTTATGTGGATGAAAAGATGTAAACTCTAGAGGCACAGTTTAGGAAGACGTTTGGAAAGTTCTTTGCTGATGTATCTTGAAAAATACAAATCATGTTTCACAAGGACCCATGTTGCAAGCTTGTTTTCAACCAAGTTTTCCAGCTTCAGCGTGTGGCTACTTCCTGGCTCCATTACATATTTTTAAAATGGATTTTGCGGTTACCTTTGAATTCAGCAGTGGCCCAAACCTTGGCATTAGAAGCAATTCCCTAGCTTTCTTGACTTGCCACACACTGTTTTGTAGGATAAATGTATTATTCCTACCATTGTGTGACTGTCAATGTAAGCATATTCTGTTACATTGATTTTAGGAAATCTGTTACATGTAAATGTGATATTATTTTTCACAGGAACATCAGGGATTTACCAAGGAGCCAACGGCCTGACCAATTCTGCAGGATTCAGCGCTGTGCATCAGGTACAGCCTCAGAAGTTATTTGCAATGTCTCTTATTTTAAAGACTTAGAGATCTTCCAGGTCAGAGAGACTGCCACAATTTTCACATGTATTTAAGGAGGTTAATAGTCTATGTAGTCACAGACACCACCTATATCCATGGATACCTGACCTGGTGATTGACCTAACATCTGGCCTTTTTTGTTTTAAATAAATGGATACATATATGCACAGCAATGGCTCAGTGGGGATCTTTGCAACGGAGCCCTGCCAAAACTGTATCTCTCACCGCTGGCGTTCTCTGACCTGGGCAGTAATTGGGTTGACTGTTGAAAGCATTTCAGAATTCTTATGGGGAGCCCATGGTATCATATGATAGCTTTCTTAAAAGCAGTGTCTTTCCATCATCTATAGAGAGCTCCCCCTTTGCACCCTTTCCTCTGGTCTCTTGGCTTTAGGTAGTAAATATGAATAAACAATCTGAAAGTGTCATACACAGACCCTGGTGAATCGTGAGCTATCTGAGCCATCTGTACTCTTCCTTATTTGAGTGTACACCTGTCTGTGAGCTTCACACTTTGCATTTATTGGCACCTTTTTATATATATATATATAGTGTGTGTGTGTGTGTGTATTATATAAGGCACACACACAATAAGAAAATTCAGGCTGCTTAATAGCCAGTTGCTCAGTTTGGCTGGACCAAACATGAAGACATTGTCCTTAGCAAGTCACCTTGCAGACCAAGGAACAGTAAATTCCAATTTCCTCCCTGCAAGGAGTTGATTGTGGCTCTTGTATTTCTGAAAACAATAGTGGGTTGTTTCTTTGTTTCATATTCTGCTGAAAGACAGTATGGTCAGTAAAGGCCCATAGACATGCACCGGATTGAGGTTTGAAGGTGACCTGCAAAAGGGAAAAAAAATTCTGCTTGTGCCTTTTTTTTTTAATGATGGGTTAAAAAAGACCTTAAGAAAAAACGAAAAAAGCTTTAGTTTTCTTTTCAGCTTTATTTTGTATTGGAAACTCAGGTCTGTTTGCCCTTGAGGACTCTCTGGTGACTGAGAACTAGTCGAATTATCACATCAGCCTAAAACACGATTAGTTGAGGGAGGGAGGGATTTTTAGTTAACACCTATTTAAAATCAGTGTCGCATGAACATTTCTGAGAAAGCCTCTTTGTTAATAATTCAGTATTCCACCCCTTAAGTTAAAGAGTGAGAGCTCACAAGATACATCTGAGACCCTTACACTGTCCTGCACAACTGCCAGAGAAGATCAGGTTTGACATTCTTGCTATTTCTGAAGTAAAAAAAAAAAAAAAAATTTTGACAAATTTTTAAAACAAAAAAATTCCACCTTTCAGTCTTTCGTTGTATGTCATGAAGAAGCAAAAATGGGCAAAGACTTAAAGTTTAAAAAAAAACCTTTGGTAGGCCACCTTCAACCTGTGATTTGTTTTTTTCAGGGTTGAAATACCCAAAGCAGAACTATTGTTTAATTTAAAAATAAAAGTATGGTGTTTTTAAACTGCTTTTCCTGATTCTGGCACCCTCATCAGCTCTCCCAACATGAGGGCTACAGCGGTGATAAATAGTCAAACACCAGCAACCACCCCAGTGTGTTAGACTGTGGCTTGGAGGTCACTGGTACCTGCATCCCTGTACTGCTTTGTCACTCCATTCAGATCAATTGATGTAAATATGCTAGGGTCTGAAATTTACAACAGCAACAACAAAAATCAGTGTTTTGAAGTGCCCAGAGAGGAATTATCTTGTGTATTTCAATATCCCACCTCCTCACAGGGAAGGAACAGATAGGCAGAATGGAGGGAGGCTATGAAGGGCATATGTGCTCTTGAAAAGCAAAACACAGCTGGAAGGTATTATTTTAGACCTCCTGGCCTTGATGCTGTCCATTTAATTAATGTATATGTCTTATTAAATCCTAGAGTGTGGTAAGTAGTATTCAGTACACTCATCCCTCACGGAGAGGCCCTGTAACTTCAGTTGAGAGCCTAGAAACGTGCTGTATGCTGAACTCAGCAAAGGGACTTATTATTGTGATACTTTTGTGATGGGCCTGATCCAACTCCTACTGAATCAGTCAATGGACACTTCCCATTAACTTCAGGCCTAAGATTGCTTAAAATGTTTCTCTCCCGGGAATTGAGTTCCAGTGAGGTGTATTGGGATTAATCCCCCTCCCTCAACCCCCAAAGATCATCTGCACCTCTGTAGTTAACTTACCTTTGGGAAGGGGAGATTGTTTAGGGATTCATTCACTAACTATCAGGGGGTAGCTGTGTTAGTCTGTATCCACAAAAACAACAAGGAGTCCGGTGGCACCTTAAAGACACCTAAAGTCCGATGGCACATCTGTTAGTCTTTAAGGTGCCACCGGATTCCTTGTTATTCACTAACTAAATGGTTTGGAAAACACTTTAAATATTTTCTGGAAATTTCTGTGTGACTTAGTGGATAGAACATTAGACTGGGACTCAGGAGCCCTGGGCTCTATTCCTGGCTCTGTCCCTGGCCTCTTTGGTAAACTTGAGCAAATCACGGCACCTCTGTGCCTCAGTTTCCCCATCTGTAAAATGGGGATAATGGTACCCTCCTTTGTAAAGGGCTTAGAGATTTAGTGATGAAAAGTGCTCTATAAGAGCTGGGTATTATTTTTTTCATTTTGTAACCAGTTCTACAGCTGATCAAAAACTTTGATAACAGGTAGAGGAAAATTGCAAATATTTTTGTGATTTCCCCCCCTCTGCATTTTTCACCTGTTCTTTTAATTACTCCTGTGCTTAGAACTGCTTACAGTGGCCACCTGTCTCACCTCAGTCCCTTTTGAAACAGTAGTTCACATCACTCCCCTGCATCAAATTGCTGCACCCTGTGCTCAGAAAGGGCCAGCCGTGGTGAACGAATCCCACAGAAAAAGGCAGGGCTTGTTATGACTCCTGTCGCCTTGTAAATTCTGCTGATGCCAGTGAAGCAGAAACAGCCATGGGCGAAGCAGAAATACCTACCAAAGTGACTTGAACAAGATTCTTTGGAAAAAGTGACCAGATCCCACGACTCTTGAAAGTATCTGCCACATGCATTACCTTACCCACTTGTCTGTGTAGTAAAAGCCTGTGATGCAGAAGGATTACTCATGTCTCTTTTCCCCCAAAGGAATACTCGTCCTATCCAAGCTTTCCTCAAAGCCAGTACTCTCAGTATTACACCTCTTCCTACAACTCTCCTTATGTATCGGCGAATAGCATCAGTCCTTCAGCCATCCCGACATCCACATACTCTCTCCAAGAGTCTTCACACAACATCACTAGTCAAAGCACAGAATCACTGTCTGGTAGGTGGATACATTATATTATTGAAAACCAATTCACTGTTTTACAGGCTCAATCATCTGTGGGCACAAATAATACAACTTTGCTGTGTGATTTGTGAGCGTATAAATTTACACTAGCAAATTAAAGTTCATGGCAAAGTTCTGTTACTTACACCTGCAATTTTGCACATGTCCTTTGTGGGGGCAAAGGATGATGACTTTACAACTGCAGGCACAAATTTAGAGAACAATTTAGAAAATGTAAGCTCTATAAGAATAAGCCATGTTCTTTTCATGAGTATTTCTTAATTGCTTCCTATAGCTCAAATGTGTTCCTGGTGTGAGTGGTCTCACACTTCCAAATAAAAGATGGTATAGAAAGGGAAAATGTTATTAATCATGACTTTTAAACAACAGGCTAGTGTGTTAACAGATAGTTTTTATTAGTGATGAGCCAAACCCAAAATCCTATATCCAAACACACCCAAAATCTAAAAAGTTCCTAACTTTGCAGCCTCCTTCTAGTTTTTACCTAATTTCTAACCACTAAACGTAATATTCGACTTCGTAAGTATGTTAAAAGGAATTCAAGTGATTCTCTCAAAAAAAATCAAGAGAAAACAGGTTGAGTTAAATGTCAATTATGAATTCCACATATGGCATCAATACCTTTGAAATTATCTCGGCTCTCCTGGAGTGCTTACTTTTCAGACTCTGAGGGCTCAAGCGGTCTATGGAATTACTGACAGATCATTATCCTCCTATGTACTGTCTGAATACAGCTTTCAGATGTCACTTTTCCACTAAAGTTTTCATTGGCATGCAATAACATTTATATAAAATACCACATAATTTGTGGATGATCACAATATACGCCCATTGTATGGTCTGCTGACTTATGGAACAAATCCGAACATCTGTGGTTGTTCAAAAAGAAAAATAAACTAATATTGCTTTTAAAAAGTGATCGCAGATTGCTCTAAAAGCAGTTGGAGGATTTTCTATTCCTTAGATCTTATCTCAGCCTACTTGAGAAACGGTGATTTCAAAGAGGCTTGTTAGGAACAACCCAAACTCTCCTTAAGAAGAGTGCATCTGTACCAGGAGGGTTGAGAGGCCACAAGTTAGCAAGGTGACAAGAAAAATGTTTGAAAAGGATTTGTAATTTAACGTAAGTGATATCTAGAGAGTTTTATGAAAGTGAATCCTATCAATTGATACTTTACACAGTGACCTTCACCTCTGGTTTATTCTTCTCAAGTGTTTCTAAACTGCTGTACCTTCTGTCCTCTGATAAACAGCTAAACTGGATTAAAACACACATGTATTTGGGAATATTCTAGAGCTGGGTTTTTAAACTATTTTTTGTTGTTGAAAAATGGCCTTTTTAATAATGAAAATTCGTTGGGAAAAAAAATCATGTTTTGAAATTTTGTTTTGTTTACTTCCCCATTTCCAATAGAAAAGAGAAAAAGGGAGAAAGGAAACCCCAGAATACCAAAAAAAACCCCTGATTTTAAAAAGTGTGAAAATTTTCAAAAAAATGAAATCTCATGTATTTTTTTTTAACTTGAAAATATATTTTCTTAAATGTTTGTGAAATGTTTCTATTGTTTGACCCATTCAAACACAAACCTTTGGAACAAACTTTTTTTTTTTTAAGTGGTTTGTGCAATAACTAAGTACCAAATACCAAAGCAGTTGTCACGCCTTTGCTAAAAGGTACTTCTTGGATAACATAAAAGTATCGCAAGAACCACACGTGAAAGGTTGCAAATTTTAGGCTTTCAGCGGGATCCCTTTTTCTCTCAATAGGGGAATATGCAACCACACCAGTAAAAGATACAGAAACAGACAGGCAACACCGAGGGTCTGATGGAAAGTTACGAGGCCGATCAAAAAGAAGCAACGATCCTTCCCCTACAGTTGACAATGAGATTGAGGTAATAATATTAATTCCTTTTGATAGTAAATCCAGCCAAGAGAAATTGCTACGTTGATTTACAAATAATCCGCTGTTAGACTAGAGAATGGTATGCGCCAAAACATAGGCAAGATGTTTGAGACCTATAGCCACCACGGCTGATGTAGTTTTAAAAGAAAAATGATTGTTGTCTCAGTGTAATTGTCATAGGCAAAATTTTGCACTCTGGCTTTTAAGGCAGCGTTGGATTCTGTTATTTTGCTCTCCTGACATAATATCCTACTGGGATTTCTATGCATATTGGGATAGCAGATTGTCAGAGCATATATGGAATCGGAGAGCAGAGTTTGGGGGTTTTTGGTTTGTTTTTTTACCAACCTTAAAAAGGCATCTATGATCAATGTTTAAAGTGGTTTTGTTACCTTAAAAAAGTTGTAGCCACGTAATATTTTTTCCTAATTAAATGCACTCCTGAAGATGCTTAACGGGTGAATGTATTTGTCTCTTTCCCTCCCCCTTGTCTTTCATCACAGCGGGTGTTTGTGTGGGATTTGGATGAGACGATAATTATTTTTCACTCCTTACTCACGGGAACCTTTGCATCCAGATATGGGAAGGTAAAATTTAATTCATATTTTTTTAACATTATTGTTTGTCAAGCAAAATTGCATTGGGAATTGTGGGGGCAGTTAATAAGGCAGCTTTTCTAACAGATGCTGCCCATTTTGTTCAGACAGATTTTGTTATAAATAAGTCCAGTGGTATTTCCCTCAAACATGTGAAAATTTAATTTAGTTTCCCTTTATATTGTATGTAGCCCCTCTTCTTCAAAAGCTTGCATTGTTCAGTTGCTGCTAGATAGGACACTGAGCTGTTGTTCTTTCAAGGCCTTTCTCCTAGGAGAAATAACTTATCCAGCAGCCAGAAAATAGTAACTCTAGCCTGCACACAGTAATATTTTCTGCTGGTCTATTGTTTTCATAAGAATCTCAGACAAATGATTTCTTTTTTTTAAGAGATTTTTTATATTGATTAACCCAAGTTCATTCCAAGTGTAGCATTGCATCTTCCCACTAACGATCTCAGATGGCCACTTAAGGCTAGATTTTTAAAGGTATTTAGGCACATAGTAGGATTCTCAAAAGGGCCTAGGGCCTACTAGCCCCAGTCGGCATCTTTAGGGTACATAAATACCTTTGAAAATCTGGCGTTTAAGCTGATGGTGGCATTTATTTAGCAAACCCTATCTGTAATTAATAGAGGAAGCTTTGAAATACACTGAAATTGGCTGCTAAGGAATTCTGAAATAGCAGGTACTTAATAATAATAGTGCCTATACCTCATTTATTTGTATGGCAGTTTTCCTATTATAAATTCTTGTTCAAATGACTGAGTTACATAATGTCAAGCATTTTTAAATGAGGAGAGAGAAAAAGACAATATCATTACCTAATTAAAGGTGGATAACCTATTTGACAACTGTTTCTGCATATGACTTTTAACATTGCAGCTTCATTGAGAGACTGGCAAATAATCCTATTTCTTTTTAGAAACTAGAAATATGATTTGACATCATTTTATTACTTTACCAGCTGTACTTGATTTATGATGGTTATAACAACCTGGATGTGTAATTAGTGAGATAGATTTATTGTCCGCTGTTAGATGTGCACACTTGTAAAGGATATAAAATGGTGTTTGTGGTGCAGAAATCCACTGCAGCATTTGGAATGCCACTAACACTTCTAGCAGCACCTTCTGAAAATCAAGCACACATTTTCGAACAGGGATTTATTCAGGCCTGTGTTGTACAGGGCAATTGGAATAGTTTCTTTTCCCACTGAATGTAATGAATGAGACAATTTGCAGCAGACATTGTGTAAGTTCTCACCTGGCTGCATGCAAAAAATAGAAAAGGAACAGGCAAGATAGAGAAAAATAAACTTGTGCAATCATACCGAGGATTGAGTTTTGGTGGTAAATGGCTGATGGAGAATTTCCCTAATGGAGGGCAACTCCATGCTGGTGCAAAGTCAGCTCCTGTGCTAGCCGTCCTGGGCACAGGAAGTATGTCGGGGCAAGGTAATTCAATGGTGGTGATTGAGCTCAGTTACATTGTACAGATCCTCTACTAAGATGAGATGACCTGGAGCACATCGCACTGGGGCCAACATAGACTCGTCTCTGGATCAGGGAGCTGTAATTGAGGCTATGTGAACATAGGCTGCATATTCTGAAAGAGCATATGCGAAGGTTAGGGAGAACCAAGAAAGTGAACTTTAGGTTAGGATTTTCAAAAGCACTTACCATGGACATAACTATTCCCATTGACTTCAGTGGTAAAACTCATGTTGATTTCAGTGGGAGTCTTACCCTTCACTTCAATGGAAGGCAGAGTTAGGGTAATCCTGAGGACTTTTGAAAACCTGCCTGCATAAGGGATTGAGGGGAGAAAATAGGAAAATGAAAACACACAAGGCTGTCCAGTATGAAAATGCTCTATGGAAAATAAAGTGAGAACCTTTCCCTAGGATAGTTCTTAAGCATTCTGTAGAATAGAGAATTATAGAATTTGAAGGGATATTCAAAATACAAAAATATTGTTAGAAAGGCTCTCCTTTGTTGTTAAGTTCTAAAAGATTTTTTGAATAACTTTTATAGAACCCCATTGAATTTCTACAGATCCTACTGGTTTCATCTCTTTTGAATTCCATAGAACTTTTCTATAAGGAAAATGGCTCAAAACTAAAACGATGATTAACCAAGGTTTTGATCTAAAAACCCACATTGAAATAAATTGATTTTGGATCAGGCTCTAAGTCAAAAGGGAAATGGAACACACACCAAACTTCTGTCATGGGAACCATTAAATAATAAACCCAATCCAGAAGTGTTTAAGCAAGTTGAATTCACAAATATGAGAGAAGCAGCCAAGTCAGAGTTGAGTAGAGCTCCAAAATTTCATACCTGAATAATACAGAAAGTATTAATCTCCGATATCCAGGCCTAAAATTTATTCTTTTTATCCATAATCGATATTAAAGATAAACATGCCTCTTATTAGACAGACACATTAATAATTAAATCTCCCTCTTCTACTGGGGCAGCTGGGATTAGAACCCTCGCTCTCTCACTTCCAAAAGCACACACTTCTACCAGCAGTACCTCATTGACCATACTAGTAGGGTAGAGCTGACCGAAACCTCTTTTGCAAAACAAAAAAAAAGTTCACAGTATTTTCCAGGTTTCATCAAAACTTTGTTTTGGTTGAAATTTTCTGACCACATCTAGTGCTGGAGCTCCTAGTTATTCTCTCCAAGTCACAACTATAAGGCGGGAACATCCCACTCAAAGCCAGGCCATTCCTTAGATAATGAGCTCCTTGGAGCAGAGACTGTCCTCTGGAAGTGTTTGGAAAGCACTGAGCACGTAGCAGCAATAAATAATAATAACAATTGCAGCACAAGGTGGACTGATCACTTGCCCATGGTCAAACAGCATATTAATGGCTGAGCCTGGACTTCTGCTTCTACTTATCTCCCAGCCTCAGTCCTCTGCTCTGGCCAGCAGACTGTTCAGCCTCCTTATATTTAATCTTAATGGGTTTCCCATGCAGTCCCTGCAACATATCCCCTCTGTTGGAAACCAGAAGTGGCCGGTGAGCTCCAGGTCTCCCTTTACTTTCTTTCCAGGTATTTTTTTCACAAACAAATGTCAACAGGTGGGATAAAGTTTTTTTAAAAAGTGTTTCCTATGCCTTAGAGAGGGGCTGGGGAGGAGCAGCTGTAGGAAAGGTGAGACTTGCAGTACAATGGACGCTTCTGTGCACCTATGAGTTGTGTCTGTATTGGGAGAGGTCACCATGTCATCCTGGAAGTCAAAAGATAGCCTTACAGGTCTGTCACATCTTACGCGCATTTAACATGCGCAATTTCAGCTTTATGCAGTCGGCAAAAACAAAAAAAAAGAGAAAAATAACAATTTTAATACTGTACCTGTAGTGCGGGCGATTCCGCCCGCCATTACAGTCAATGTAATTTTGACTATACGCGATTTTCGCTTTACGCGCTGACTGCGGAACGTAACCCCAGCGTAAGATGCGACAGACCTGTATATGCTGAGGGTACAATTCCCAGCTGAGCCTGACAGGACAGAGGCTGGTCCTCAGTTGCCATGCTTGTGATTAAGGGGATGTGCCATTGCTCTTCCCAGTGTGAAGTGGAATAGCTATCAAAATAACAAAATATCTTACATGTGCAGGTAAAGTGAGTTTTTGTTCTAGCTGAATGTGGTAAAGAAGCTGGCAAGCAGGAGAAAATTTCTCCACCCCTTTGCCTCTCAGCAGGAGGCCCCTCTATGCAGAGGTTCCACCACTATATTCAATTAACCCTGAATATTGTATTCAGTAAAGTTTAGAAACCTGTTCCACAGGCTTCTGCTTACAGTATGGGTGTCGAGTATTTGCTGTGAGACTAGAATGCTCAATAGACATAACACTTCATTTTTATGGCTTAATATACACCCCACCCAGCCTTTCTAATCCCTTCAGGCACATATTAAAGAGAGCTTCCATTCAGTAGAAAGGATGATTGCACTCTTTACTAGTCTGTAAAGAACTGAACACCGACGTACAGGCCTCTGAGGAAAACACAAGGGGAAATAAGTGAGTTAAAACCAATTGCAATGTTACTAGCGCTTTAGCTGCATTCAGTGCAGAGGTCTCAGACAGGAGGATGATACGTTACCAAGTTTGGCCTCTCGTTCCAAGTTTTGGTTTGAAATAACCAGACACAGGGCAGAAAAGTGACTCTTTAGGTGCTGTTAATTTAATACTTGGTAAAGGAAGTAGCAAATAGTCTTGTCAAGAGAATTCATCGACCTATTTTCCTCTCCCTATGCCCAAATTTTGGGAAATTTCTAAACCCGTTCCTCATTGCTTCTATAATCTTAATTGTCAACAGATTTTTTAATTTGCACGTCCCAGTTGTTAGAGGTCTTTTCTGCATTCCTTCCCAGTAGCAGTGAAACAGAATTATTTGATAGTTCACTCTAACACTTCTTTAATGAATGGTAAAGAGAAAAAGAGGGACACTAAATACGTTTTTTTTACCCAGCTGCTGGCATGTTAAGTAGGGGATAATAATACTTCCTTACTCCCACACTTTTTCTGTTTTGTATATTTAGACTAAGTTCTTCAGGGCAGGTAATGTCTCTTACTCTGTTAGTATAGTGCCTAGCATGATGGTGCCCTAATCTTAGGTGGGGTCTCTGAGTGCTACTGTAACATTAAAAAAAGTGACTAATGAACTGAATCTAATATTATAATTACTCCTTCCATATAACAAGCCTTGGGGACAAATGGAATGGATTTCATTTTAGCACTGATTTACAAAACTGAAAATTTCAGAAAACAGCTGATGTTGCTACCAGAACATGGAATTTTGATGGATCTTCATCAACCCTTTAATATTGTCTAAAAGTCAACAAGGGGTTTTGATCTGTAAATTTGAATGTAAGATGCACATTAACTTCTGGAATTAGTCAGCATCTCAGATTGACTTGATTTTAACAGACACCACTGCAAATGCATAACAGAGCACATTGTGTCTAATTTTTA